TGCACTGATTTGAACTTCGTGGCGCAATTAGTGTCACAATGAACGAACTCTGCCATGGCCTAGGAAGCTCCAAACTCTCCTCCTGTGTGTAAATCACCAAGCTGAGGTTTAGTGTTTTACTATTTGTGAAGAATGAGGCCTTAGTTACTCGGAGTGGAGGGTTCAGTTAAGGTTTTTGGGGTCTGGAACAAGGAGGCTCCATTTCGTCGCTACACATGAGTTTAATCAACATTTCAGGGAACCACTGAAAGTCCTGAGTTCATCTGAAAGGGAGGCCGCTCTCTCCGAAGCAGCTCGGTTTTTATCAGCCTGGTGTGTTTCCCATTAGCCTGCTTGTCTCTGTGGTTTGCTTTGGGATGCACAGGTCCAGCTTAGTACAAGAGAGTTTCAATTATTGGACTAAACTTTGCCACGAATGTGTATGGAAAACAGACGCTGCCACAAGTTGTCAGTTGGCACTGCCAAGGCAAGGAAGCGAGAAAGAAAGAAAGTCAGAGACAGAGAGGAAAGCAGAGACAGAGGGTGTCCACATTACTTGAAGCATTTGATTCAAATCAAGGAAATACGCCTGGATTTTAAGGAGACAAAGAACATGGCGTCATCTAAAGTGAAAACATATTTTTGCTCCCCCCCCTCTGCCTTTGGGGTGGTGGAGGCTTTGGCAGCTTCCACTGTAACAATAACCTCTCTCAGCATTGATGCTGCGAGTCCACGCGCCAACTTACTGGTCTGTCCGCCTGTCCACTGTTTTCCCAGAGAGGGCCTCACTGGGTTCATCTACACACTTGGCAGAGGCTGTGCCAGCGGCTCTGACATGCCTCTGACCAGGAGAGGAATGTGCCGGACCTGGGTCTGGTTAACTTGTTCACCCACACACTGTCATACTGGTCACACACTGTCTGACATTGAAACTCTCGAGCCTCTCAAACACAATGTGCACAGGCGTTTGTCTGTTCTGCAGGCATCTCTCTCAGTCTTTGGGCCCCTTTATGGAAATGTTTGGCAGCAAGACCACCTCTTTGTGGCGTGTGTGCGCATGTCATCTGTAAGCACAGAGGGCAGCTGTAAAGCAAAGTCAAGTGGCACATTCATACGTTCAGCACCCAAATAGCGGACGGAAGGGATAGAGAGATGAATTCTGCTCATTCCCGTCAGCTGCAGCGTGTGGGAGGTTGAGAGGAGAAGAAAGGCTATGCTCCAGTCAGCTTTGGGACCTATTAGCATTTGGATAAGCTCAGAAAGCTCCCAGTGGCCACGCCACACAGAGAGTGGTTGGGCCTAAGCGCCTGTACTGCTGAAGCTATAAGCTGGGTCCTGTCAATGGACCCATTGTGCAGGAACGGCTGCCGGGATGCCTGACGGCCTTTATCTCACTCTTCCTCGATCTGCTTGAAAGTAGCATGCCGGTTTCTTTGGCACTCCAACCCGAGCATCCATCTTGTCATTTGGCAACTGATTGCTGATAAAAAAGCCTTTGTTCATTTTGTCTGTTTCGTCTGTTCACTGTGAGGATGACTAAGTCTGACGTGATTTGTGTCAATTACTTAATGCTAAGGCCAACAACTCATCATTAAGTTAACTGCAAAAGGATGTCATTTGAAGTGGCAAACCTCATTGATAAACTGCTTTTTATATTAATGGGTACTTTTTGTTCTGTAACACCGTGCACTTCAGCATGTTGGTCAGAATCACTCTCATGGATTATCAGCTGTCAGTTTTACAGTCATTCTGTTCCTTCCTTCCATTATTATTATTATGTATGTCCTTTTCAACCATCCGCTTGCACGTTTGGTGCCCTCCGATCCTTACCAATTATCTTACAAGGCCAGTGTTGAAGTGTGAGCTCCACTTTGTGTCTGGCCAGCAGCTCCTGCAGACATGTCTGACCAGTCAGCTGGGAATGTCAAGAACGGACTCTCTCGCGCTCTCCTTTTTTCTTTCCATCTGTCTGGGTGTAACGCTCAGTGATGGATGTCCTTGATTTGTTCTTCTCACCAGCTCCTGGTTGTCTTTGGAAGATGCATCTGTGCTACTGCATGCTTGCAGTGTACCACAACATGCCAGAGCAAACACACAGGTCAGCAAAATATGTGCAATTATAGCTTCTTGCGTGCCATTGTTGTTGGGCAATGTACATGAAGGATTTATTTGTATGTAGCACTTTTTCCTTTTTTCCCAAGGAAAGTGACTCATAATAACCAAGATGGATGAATCCTTGAACTTTTTAAAGTTGTAATTAGCAGTTAAAGTATCAACTTATTTAACTATTTAGGTTATAATAAATGTATGAAGTAAAAAAGAAGTATCCAAAAGTGTCTGATATCTCCTACTTGATAGGTCTAAGAGTTTAATTATTAGTGTCTATTCTCAATTTTAGTACAGTACGACCAGAGTGTGTTATGTTATTGTGTTATGTTGGAGTGTCCTATAAAAAGACTCTCAAGATTCCTTAGAAAGTCTTGGGAGGGCGTTCTCTATATAGCAAAAGTGCCGTGTGTGTGTGTGTGTGTGTGTGAGTCACTGGCTCCTGTTGGTCTGTGTCTGCAGACCCACAAATAAACAGCAGTTAAGCCAGCTGGAAATGGGGAAAAGCACAGGCTTCTCTCAGTCTGTATACGGGTTAATACAGTTCATGGGAAAAGGAATCAAACACCCACACATACTGTATGCACTTGCACATGCACGCAAACACACACTCGACCCCTCATCTGTGCCTTTGAGTGTCCCAATTCCTCACTGGCCAGGTGTACGTGGTGGACATTACTCAGTTGTTTTTGTTGATGGAATCATTTGAGTCAGTACCAGTGCCGCACACTGTTGCTGTTTATGAGTGTGCATTCAGGTAACATCTGTGCCTTCAGAGTCCCACTCATCCTCCCCAGCAGAGGTCACATGAGCGTGGGTTCATCTTTGTGCCAACATGAAGCTTCCTTGACCTTTTGGGTCTTGTTAAAGGTTCTAATGGAAGGAACACTGAGAGGTCTTTGTCCGCTGGAGCCCAGCTGTGCCTCTATGTCCTCCCTGCTCAAAGCGTATTCTCTCTCCTTTCAGTCCATGTGTGTAGTTACTGGCATTTGGGTGGGGACAGTGGGGTTGGGGTGACTCACCTGGGCTGGTCTGCTGAGAAGTGAATCCGTGCAGGAAGATCAAACAGGATTGGGGAGAGGCGTATGACTGGAGCAAAGATGCAAAAACACTGATTTAGTGTCAGCAATTTAGATTGCACTTCTTCGCCACCTTAAGATTTACAGGAAATGTAAAGGGGATTTGTCACAAGGTTGAAAGTAGACATTGATTTCCAGTAAAACTCTTGATGGAAATTCGGAACATCTGCCATTTGTGCTACTCCTTTATAGTTAGAATTTCAAAATGCCTCTTTAGGACATCCACATCCTTGTATTTTTTGCCAGACTTGTACATTTGGTTAGAAACTTTCTGTAACGGGTCAGCGGTTTGAGCCTTGCAACTGCAGATGTGTCCATCACGTGCCATCTGTCCTGTCAAAATGTCCTTGAACAGAAGACTGGACCCCTACCTGTTCATTCACGGTAAGATGTCTGGATTGGAGTATCCGCTAAAGGCCTTACATGGAAGTTTGTTAACTGGATTAAGTTATCTGATAGTTTGGATTATTGCCTAAAAGGGTGCTGTGTTGAACCCTTGCCTGATGCTGACCTCACGCTGACTTCGCTAGTGTGCTGCAGCGATGGCACTAATCATCCAATCAAGTCTCAGAAAGGCCAGGCTGTGTTCACTCTCAAAAACAGATCAAGCGCAGGGAAAAACCCAACTCATCAGTCCGTGTTCTCGGCAGAGCATACCAGTACACGGACCGGGTGATGTATGAGGAGGAGGGTGAGTTGGGGCTGAACTGGTAGGAGGGAAGGTTAAGCAGGATGGCAGGATGTAGGGAGAGGAACATATCCACTGAGAAAATGATGAAGGGTTCGGATGAGAAATGGAGGCGGAGATGAAAAAAATGTCTGCTCCCTGCTGGAGTCTCCTCATTCATCTGATAAGAGCAGCACATTCTGGTGATGAATGGCCGGTGTTATAAGTCACTCTGAGTTTCATATTTTCATGTCTGAATGATGGGATTAACGAGATGTACTGATTGCTCTAGGTTGTTGGTGTTTGCTTTTCTTGTAGCCTGGGCCACATGTTACGCTGTCCTTGATTAAACTGATATCTATTTTAACCTTGTGCAGCTGAAATTGGATTTCCCACCTTCCCAACACTTCAGTGTTCCCGCTCAGTATTCATCATTTCAGAGTTGCTGTTGCCACTCCTACACTACTGGTTAAAGCATTAGTTTGTGTTTTGTGGTGCCATGGTTTGTGCCGGTTTTTTTTATGATGTTAAAGTGAAGACTGTCTGTAAATTGGTGTAATCTGATATAATACAGTGTTGTTTTTTTTTGCAGTATAGACAGGAAAAACTATATCACACAGTAATGGAACAATCTCCAAACACGGTGTATACCTTGGTGCCTGTGAAAGCAAACATCACGTTAACTGTAGCAGCGCATCATGACGCGCTTCCGTCTGCTGCTTGCTAAATTACCCTGATTGTCATCTTCTCAGATTTCCTCCTCTGCTGAGAAAAGATAACATCCCTCTCTCTATCTGTCCTCAAACATCCCCCTTTCACTATCTTGCCTTCTCTAAATCCAGTTATCTCTCTGCTCTCATGATGATGATGACCGTTGCATATCTTTTCAATCTTAACAGTACTGCTTGCTATTTCCTCTTTTCTTTTTTCATCAGAATGTGATGCTTTGTGTTGTTTACTGTGACTCTAGCAGTAAGAACCAAGTGTACACTGACATGTTGTATGTGTATACTTACTTGTTTTCTTTAATATTTCCAATTTGAAGTTCAACAACCAAATAGTTGTGTTCTCCTAATCATTAAGATTAATATTTGTGAATAATTATCATGTTGCCATCACTACATTAACTCCTGCTAAAACCCCCTTCTCTTTTTCCTTTTTGTCTGAAGAATTTCCAAGAACATCCCCACCACTAAGGACGTGGAACCTCTGCTGGAGATCGATGGAGACGTCCGCAGCTTTGAGGTCTTCCTCTCCTCCAGGACGCCCGTCCTCACTGCCAGAGATGTGGAGATGTTCCTGCCCTGCACAGTCAACCTGGACCCCAAACTGAGGGAGATCATAGCAGGTTCATACACACTGAGTATTAGTACAGATGGGTGAACATTTGAAGGGAAAAAGCAGCATAAACTGTCTTAGTAAAGGCCTGTGCAGACTACACAACTTTCAGCGTTGGTCGATGGCTGCGCCGTTCACACTACACAACTTGCCGTCATTGTAGCGTTCACACTACGTGACTGATCGGTGTCAGGGGGTCACACACTACACGAGCTGACAACGGCTCTGTCATCCGATGCTGGTCTCCAAACCACGTTTTGTCAAGAAAACTAACTGTTTGTTATTATAAAGGTAGCACACGCAGGTAGCAGGGATTGTTTGAGCTACAGAGAAAGCTGGAGGTGAGTAAAAAGTGTTTTGCAGTGAAAACGTAGCTGCCTGCTCTGCCAGCTGCCTGCTCTCATTGGCTGGATGTGGATGTCGAGTCAGCCGACTCCTCCCAATATTTGCATTGCTAGATATCTGGCAGACGTCGGCAATGTGTTGGGGAGCCATTTTGATGCGTCGTTGAGTAGTTCACACATAACGACTAGCGACCGCCGATCGATCACTGATTTACCCCTGATCACAGCCTGACGGTCACCAAACTCGACGACCGGCAAATCCGGCTAAAAATCGTGTAGTGTGAACTAGGCTTAAGGTTCAACCTTGGCATAGATTCTGCAAGTTTCTGGGGCTCTGCTGCAGGGATTAACATTCTTCCAAAAGATATTCCCTCACTTGGTGCTTTGATGATGGCAATGGAGAGTGCTGTCTAACACTGCAAAGACCACAGCATACTGAGCATCGTCCAACAGCAATTTGACAAAAATCTCAACCAAGGTCCAACCTAGTGGAACCCTCTGGGTATGAAAAGTGAAGTCAATGCAGAAGTGCCTTAAACCTGCATTATTTTAATGGCCAGCAGGAGGTAACTCCACTGGTTGCAGAAACAAGTCCAATAGTGTAGAAGTCTATGAGAAAATGGCCCTACTCACCGAATTTATTACCTCAGTAAACACTTTCCTAATGACTTTTATGGTCTCAGTCGCTAATTTCGTGTCTTTTTCGATACAACATGATGTTCATTTTGTAAATTATGGTCCAATTTAGAGTAAAATGGATGATAAAGCAGGATATGCTTTAGGGCATGGCTACCTTGTCATTGACAAGTCACTACCATGGTGACCTGTCCGGTGTAGCAATGCGCATCCCCAGCTGCACCCTCTCGTCCAAATATGGTCCCTTCTGGTTCCAAAAAGCAAAGATCGCGATGGCCAAAATAACAAACTCGATGCTTCAGAACGATAGTCCACAAACCAATAGATGGCTGATAGCTGGTGAAGTAATGAAAGCCATTCAACTAAAGTATTTTGCACCGTATAATGTTAGCTACTGGTCGGCTTTAGACTGCAAGCTAACGTTATCTAACTTGAACCAAAAGCCCAAAATCACAATATATTTCACATACTTTGCAATAATATTAGTTTACCTGTACAATAGGATGAAAACCAACTCGGGTTGGTCTATCGGTTCCAAAACAAAGCGGAGTTCTGTCTGTGACTCAAGTCCTTCCGATGTTGACTGTGTTTTCACCCGACGTATGTGAGAGAAAGCACAGTCAGTGTCTAAAGTACATAAAAGGGTTGGGTATACAACAGCATGGAGAAACAAAGAACTGTCCTCTATGTGATGTGTAGAATTCATTGCCAGCTCATTTGGCAGTGACATTACTCAAAACATTGCAGCAAGGTCTGCTCTAAAATCGCCCACTGCAGGGGCTCTCAGAAACCCACAGCTTGCTTCTCATTTCCAAACAATCAAATGTCGAGCAGGTTTCCAGTACAGCACTGTGGGATCAGGACAACATTTTCACTCGCTGTCACCAATCTGCCTCCAGTACTGCACCAAATTTCACAGTGTGTAGTTACAGTGACGTAATAGTGCATTAGTATCAGACTGTAAGCCAGAGCGGCACTGTACTTTTGCTACCGTGCGTCAGCGTCCATTCAGCCTATACAGGAGTGTCAATGACGCCTAGTGTGAAGCTGCTGCATCATAGTGTTATGAGACAACAGAAAACACACAAACTCACACGCACAAAGTCTGTTCCATTGAGCCAAGGTTGAGTCATGGAGGGCGCAGCTGACCAAGCTCTACAACCAGACGTCCAGTCTGAAAGTACTGGTACCCCTGTGCTAAAAGTGTGTTGGTGTGTAAATGTGAATGTTTTTATTTGTATGTGTGTGTGCTCAAAAGTGTGTGGGCGTTTTCCGCTCCACACTTTTCCCCAGAGAGCAGAAGGTGACCAATGCTCCTACGCAGTCATCCGGCTCCCTCCGCTCCCTCCGCTCCCTCCGTGGCCAGTCGGCACTTGGTGCCCACTGTCCTGTGGCCAGCCAGTGGGCATTGCTGTCAGTGATACCCGCCCATGAGCCTGACTCACATCATAAGGCCCCCATTGTGTTCGCAGGCTGGATTGGGTCTCACTCAGCGTGTCATTCAGCAGCCACTTGTATAACCAGGAGACATTCTGGTGCCTGCTTCTGTTTCTGGTTCGTACTTTCTTGCCAGCCACACAGAGCCGCTCTGTTCTGTCTGCAGGCTTATTTAACTTTAATTTGGGAGTTTTTTTCCCTCTTCAGCTCCTACTCGACTCCTCTCGAAGTCAAGTTGATTTATGCAAAAACAGTTGTGGCGAAGTGCTTATGCGATAGTGTGTTTGAGTTGACATGGTCCGCTTTGTTTGTTTACATGGGTGCATTTATTTGTCAGGGACAGCGAGGGCCAGGTTGTCACGTGGCTGGCATATCATTTGGAAAAGACAGAAAATGAGCACGCCTGCTGGTTTTTCAGCAAACAGTATTAAAAAGTGAAAAAGTGAGAATGGAAACAGATCGTTGTAATCATAATATCTGCGCCCGTTTTCTCAGCATTTAGTTGTTTGGATAAGGAGAACATGTTCCGGGACAGTGTTCTTGTTGTATTCCCTGCACTGCTCTGAGAATCAAGGAATTTTTCTCTTATGTATGTCAATTGTTTGATATGTATTTTTCTCTGTGGATTCACAACTGTCTAAACTCTCATGAGATGATGAAATAAGGCTAAATTATTGATGTGTGGGTGGATCTGAAGGGTCTTTATAGTCATAGCCAAGACATGATCATCAGCATCACAGATAAACACTTCCTTCTCTCTCCCTCTCTTGTTCTTTCTTCCCCCTGGCTCTGCCCTCTCTTAGATGTCCGTGCGGCCAGGGAGCAGATGCACATGGGAGGAGTGACCTATCCCACGCTGCCCCTGCAAGAGGCAATGCCCCGTCCCCAGTCAGGTTATGGCCAACAGTCTGCCGCCTGCTCGCCGACGGGCTCCTTCGCCGGACCCCTGCCTCCTCAGCCCCACAGTGCCTACTTCAGTGGGATGACTGGCCCTCAGCACCCCTTCTACAACCGGGTGAGACAGGAAAGGGAGTTACATTTAGATAATCACTTTCAGATGTCCGTATTAATGTAGAAAAATGCAGTTGAGAAAATGATCAACATGATCAACATGATCATTTAAAAATAAACCATGTAAATGTTCAGTATCTTCACTACACTCGATAAAACTAGAATCTCTGGCCACTGTCTAACAGCAACAGAAGGAATAGTTCCTGCCTCCTGAGTGACACTCACCGATCTGCACAACCACACTGGTTTAAAAAAGAACCTTTCTAAATTTATCTGCTCAGTTCTCTGCACGTTATAATGTAGCATTGCACTGACCCACCTGGCAGATACACCTGACTAAACTGTGTAGGTCTTTGTATATGACCAATGACCATGGTTTTTAAATAACCAGCACTTTACTGAGAAAGTTAGCGATGAGTATGTTTTCCCCGCAGCATTTTTTTTTATGTGTGTCTGACCTCCCACGTATGATTTTCATTTTATTTTTACCTCCTCTCCACATTCCTTCCTTTCCCCTCATAGCCTTATTTCCCCCACCATGTGTATCACCTGCCACGGCATTACTACCACCATGTCCCCTCATCCTCGCGCCCCTCCAATAAACAACCCGGTCAACCTAAGGACAACACCAATGGACTTGTAAGTAAAGACGCAGTGCTAGATCCATCTGACGTGTGCCTCTATCGCAGTAAATGATTATAGCCACATATATACTAGATATAGTAGTAGTATTTATATGATGCAGCAACAGAACATTTAAACAGTTGGTTTCTGTTTCTTCTTAAAAAATTGTATCCTGAGGTATTCAATGTTTCCTAGTAGTACCAGTTAAGGGAGATATTCTTCCATTTTTATTATTAATTATATGAATACAATTAAACTTACAAAGGCTCCAAGATATAGTGCCTTTTTTTTAACACTTCCTCTTCTCTTACATACTTCTTTCCTCCATTCCCTTGTCTCCCTTTCATCAGTGTGATTTCAAATGTTTTACCATTACATTTTAATTGCACCCTGTTTTCAGGGTATGCACCACCACTGTCCAGCTCCTGGCGGGGGTATTTCTCAGTTTTTGTGACCCCAGAGCAAAGTGAAACAGTGAAAGGTTATTCCATAAATTTAGTCGACACCTTTATTAGCCCTTCTCTCTATGCAATCCTTGTTTCCATTCTTTGCCCACGTCAGGATGTTATTGCAGAGGATGCCAGAGAAGGTCTCCTCTCCTCTCCCTCTGAACCTACCATGGTAACATGTAGTTGCAGTCGTCAAGCACTGCTGATATGCAACTAGTCCGTGATTATCTGCCTGTTGACTTGATGTTTAAACCTCATCTGTCATTTCTTGTGTTGCATGTATAAATTGCACGTCTATATGTTTGACGGACTACTTACTTTGTGTCTGTGGTTTACAAAAGCAGAGAGAACAAATATAGACTTGTCACGCTTGCTGCAGAATGCTTACAATAACTACTTACGCTACGTCCGGTGTAACTCTGACCTCCAAACTTCAGCATACGTAAATATAACACAGTTACAGTTCCCATTCACTTACAAAATGGACATAAAAGTGTTGTTAACCCACTTCAGGAATGCATGGAGTTTCACTGACAAGAACTGAATGTCTACCCCCAGATATTCACACATTTTTCAGAGAAAGCAGCCACTATTAGAACAATTTCCAGATAACACTGCTTGGGAGATTTCTGCTCACAAAGCCACTTATCAGGGCACTGCCAGCAGGCCTTTAAAGGAGCTGTATTAAAGATGTAAATATAGATTAATGGTCCCTTCCTTTTTCTGTCTGTATTTTTGTGTCTTTAAATGTTTACTTCGATCTTCCCCCTTTTCTTTAAACCATCATGACTGTCTTCAATTTTTACTCCCTTTTTTGTTCTTAATAGCTTCCTTTTCTCAGCTTCATCCCATTCTAGCTTTTCGATGTACATTAGCCCATCTTATCCCTTCTCGGTTCACACATGATCTTTTTGTGTAATGTTCACATGCGCCTGTATTCCTGCAAATCTATGAGTGTGGATGTGTGTGCACACTCGCTCATTTGTGTGAGTCTTTGGATATGTGAGCGGGCCTAGCCCAGTGTAATTGCCTAGCTGATATAAGTGCGAGTATGGATTCCTCGGGCGGCCGGGATTATCATCAGAGCAACTGTTGGGGGCTGGCAACACACACACACACACACACACACACACACAGACACAATGAGCCCAGCACTGGTAGAGCTTATCTCCTTACCAAGACGCTTCCTCCCTCACAGAGCTCTGTTTCCTCTTCCCCATCCTTCTGCCCGGCCCTGAGCTCAGCCCAGCTGTAATTACAGTCTTATCACACACACACTGGGAGGGTTCACGCAAACACACACATACATGCAGACATTTATGCTTTCGCTCACATTCTTAGAACACACGCTTGCCATCTGAATACGAGGAGTCATATTCAGGGCCTTCCTTGAATTGAGACTTCTGCTTTTTCTACGCAAAGTGAGAGACATCTCGTTCTCTAAATGAGTATTTCTCTCTGTCTCGTCCGCAGTCCTTTCTGTCTGCAAAGATTATGACTGTAAATGCCTGCTGACTGCAGCAAAAACAAAATCTCCTTGTATAATAATTCTACTTCCAATAGCCTCTTCTCTTCCAGTCTGACGTGCTGTGAAGGATCCGTCTCCTGCCCTGCTGTGAGACAGATAAATGTCCGTTTGCTCTGTTGTCAATGTCTCTCCTGTCCCCTGATGATGAGTTCAACATGTGTGCTAGTGTCATTCTGTCCCGCGCCCCCCCCCTCCCCCCCAGGTCTTTTTGTCTGACTATTTGTCTGTCTGCTTCTTTTTGTCTCCACATCAAGCATTTAAAGGCGCTGCCTTACAAATTAAAGCAGGTACACATTTGGTTTAATGACTACTTTCATCTCTGCATCCTTCACTCCATCCTTCATGGATCTCTGCCTCATTTCTAATACACTGGTTCAATACCACCAAGCATGCTGTAGAAAGATATATATAGCCTCATCACTTAAAAGTAAATGCAAAAACACAACTTCACGTCCTGTTATAGTTCAGTAGATTCGCTAACATAGTTTCATTCTAGTAAATCCTCTACTGTGTGGACATAAACAGTCTAACTCAGGGACTAAAACTCCCTGAGTGCCAGCATTCATCCTCTTGCCCACCACTACAGAAAGTTGGCACCTACTATTGTGTACTGTATGGTGTGAGCTGCTTATTTATTTGTTTAACAACCACTCACAGTCCAACTAAGCTCTGCTCTTCTCTCCCTCGAAACCAGAAACAAAGCCGGGGGGCTTAGTCTGAAGCCACGTCTTAATGGTGTTAATAGCCGAGAGAGAGAGCAAAAGATGATGAGGGAGGGAGTAGGAGGAAGAGATGGGGTAGAAACAGAGTGATGGAAAAGTGAGCAGGAGGTCAGTGCAGGAGGCTAAGAGGGAAGGAATGTGAGAGGGAGGAAGGAAGGGAGGGAAGGAAGGAAGGAACGAAGGAGAGTGAGGGTTCATAAAGACAAGCAGAGAGTGAAGAAAGGGAGGGCAGTGGGTTGAGGAGGGTGGATGAGGTTTGTTTAGTTTTTGTGCCAGCGGGTGGCATGTTTGCTCTGTGTGAGGCCTTAGACAGTAGCTACAGGCCGCTGGTATTAGTCACTTCAGGCCTTGTGGCTGCTCATTGTCCGCCGCTACAGTGTGGCCGGCTCGACATGCGACTCCCAGACTCCATCCTTTAAGTGTTGTGCACACACTTTGCGTGCTTATATATACACTGAGAAAGATAATAAGAGCAGGTAACCGTGTATTTGGATAGGCTGGCAGCTTTGTTTACTTTTATACTTACACTGTGCGATAGAGAGAATTACTGTGTGTTGCAGTTTTGCACCCATGTGCGTACTATAACTACCCTGCACGTCTTTGCCAGAAATTGTTGCTCGTTTTACCCTAATCAGTGTGCAAGTAGTGATGAGTTTGATAATGTCTAACAATGTCCTAAAGGTGTGAGTTTGCCCTGATAACCGTAACTCACAAACACATTCTGAATAAGCTGTTTATATTGTGTGTGTGTGTGTGTGTGTGTGTGTGTGTGTGTGTGTGAAGGTATCTCCTGTGATCGTGCTCAGCTCTATGACCACAGATGCGGTGTGTGATCGTCTCAAACAAATCGATGGAATTGACCCCAGCATGCTTCCTCTGTACAATGCCACCATAAAGAAGGTGCGTCTATAAATGACATTCAGAATTTGATCCATGTAGTCTCTGCTTAACATGGTAGACTTATTTCAACCAAAAACAAACGTTTTTAATGTTTTTTCTGAAACCAGATATTTTGTTTTCTCTGTGTAGCTTCCTTCTGCTCTGCTTTTTTATTTTGATTGTGTAGGGGCTTTTTTTGGCCTGATGCAACTCTGCAAATGTTAATGAAGTCCATCAGTCAGTGAACTAATCAGTCAGTCCCTTCACTGTCCATTGCAGGCTAATATAAATGGTCGAGTGCTGTCTCAGTGCAACCTGGACGAGCTGAAGAAAGAGATGGAGATGAACTTTGGCGACTGGCAGCTCTTCAGGGGAATGGTGAGAATAAATTTGTCAGTAGGGTAGACATAAATGGTAAAGAAAGCATAAGTCCACCAACACCATTAACAACAACTCCTTTATTGCTCTAGAGTAATGGCCTGAAATAAATTTAGCATACATTCTCCTCACTCTGTGATACTCTGCAGACACTCAGCCCTGCCAGGGCCCTCCTGTTGATACATGTCATCTCATGTTTATTCCAAAAAGAAGCAAGACAGAACCTCGTAATACAACATCTTGTGCTGTGCTGAGATATTGGGATAGAGATTTTATAATCCGTATTACGAGAAGGGCGCTAGTCAGTCAGCCAGGAGTCCAGCCGGCTGAGCCATGGCTGAACTCACTAACACATGTAGCCGGCACCACTTCATCAGATGTCAGTCTGTGCTCCTAATAATCCAGAGCCCTGGATTGGTCGTGTTTTACAGCTGGAAAGTGGAGTGGCCTTACAGCTCCGTGTACTAAGCAGTGTTGTGTTGCCAGGACGCAGCCAGCACAGACATCTGGTTCAAGATGGCTGACTGATATCTGGATGAAGGGAGGTTATTGTTGGGGAGGAGTGGACAGCTGAATAGCTCCACTTAATGAACAGCTCACTCTCGCAGGCACATGCTTTTGTTGTTGCTGTCTGTCATACTTGTTTTGTATGTCACATGGTTTAAAAAACATGTTTAAGATCCTGAAACAAAAGTCAAATGACTAGTTGACCCAAAATATTAAATTGTGATATCTTTCCCCAGGTGATGGAACAGCGTAATGCTGAAAGCCAGGCTCTGCTTCAGGATGAGTCCCGAGCTGCTAGCGAGCAGGGCAGCAGCGTGCACCACGGGGAGCCCAACAGACGCTCTGGGGGGGCCCAGCATGAAGCGGCGGCCTTCAGCCTCAACCTCAGCTTCGAGGAGCTCAGCGGAGTTGGGCTGGAGGAGCCTCTGAGACACAGCAACAACTCACACTGGCCGGTCAGTCTTCCTGCCAGGAGCTTAGTGTAAATGTACCCCAACAGCAGATAGGATCAGACAGACGTGATCCGTGTGTATGCACATTACACTCACCCATATACACATGAAACGAGATAAGAAATGATTTGAAAGTTGCTTGTGTGATTGTATTTGTGAGCGGGTAACACTCGCAAATGGGATCGCAAGGTCACACACCCCAAACTGTCACATGTCACAAGTCCTCTACACCAAGCCAGCGTGTTAGTGACTTCAGTGGTTTCACATTAATGTGGTTTAAAGTGGAAAAAAAAGAGCACGGCAGAGGAAGCTTATGGTGCTCTAGTACATGGCAGAATTAAAAATACACACACTGCAGTGCACCAAAAGGTGTCAAGGGGCTCCCTGTTTGTTATTTTCACTTTCCCTATTCCCAGTTTACAAAATGTCTAAGACACGAGCAGACACTCACACATAGACAGCTGGCTCCGCTGCTATTTTTTATATGATCTCACTTTGTGATCTTTTTAAAATTCAAATCATCCAACACTGAAAATACACCACTTTTCATTGCCACTCTGTTTGCAGTCTTATCTTATGGATTTTTTATGGTTATTAATGTAATTAAGTGCTATTGTAACTGCCACATTTGTATATTTATCATATTCAGGTGTCAGTTAAGGTTATCAACCCAAAACCATACACTCTCACTCTGCAGCTACTCTTAACATAACTATACTCCACAACAAACTCACGTGGATGTATGCACACCAATGCAACCTTTTTCGCGTCTTGTCAGGTGGCAAATCTCCGCACCTCAAGCATGTCCAGCCTCAACTCTCAGGAATCCTCTAATGACATCTGCAAGCTGACTGACAAGCAGCAGGATGAGTATCGTGATGCCTACAGGGAGTACATCACTCAGATGGCCCAGCTGGATATGTCCGGCAGTGGGGGAGAGAGGCCCGTGCAGCCCCACCCTGGACAATTCCTTCAGGCCGCCAGCTCAGAGGACAAAGGGGTGGGTGGACAGTCACAAGTACACTGAGTTTTTCTCTTTGCATCGCTGACAGCATAAATAGTTCAGTCAAATCGATGTAGACGCTCCCATTTTCAGATTACAGAAAAATACCTTGTGGTAACTGCTGTTATTAACTTGTGCAGACATAGTTTCTGAGCCCGTATGTTATGTCGTTCTTAAACTTTTTAAATGTTGTATTCCTCTGGCCTGTACAATGGCAAAAGTCTTATTCTGAGCTGGAAAAGGGGAGACCACTCCTTCTTGAGTTTCTTAATTATTGGCTTATACGTTTTGTTTCTCTTGGCACATAAAGGAGAGACAGGAATCCCTCTTCAGAGGCCTCTCGGCCAGCAGCGCAGGATCTGTATATTTTCTTATTGAATCCTCTTCCCTCTCCTCAGGCCAAGGAAGGAGCTGACCAAGACAGCCGCAAGTCCTTCACCAAGAGAGGCTCCAAGAATAGTGATGCCACAGACTTCCCCTCAGGGACCGATGCCCAGCTCCTAGACCCCATCAGTGAAGAGGATGAGAAGCTGGACCACAGCGCGTCCTCCAGGACTCCAGGTACCAGAAAGAAGGGAGCCGGGGCATTGTACCACAAGCTGCCCAACGATGAAGACTCCGGCCCAGAAGAAGCTGACAACACCACACCTCTCCTCCACAGAGAGGGTGTTGCTCTGTACTCCCAGCCCAGCAGGCTGCTAACCAAGCCTGGCTTCCTCACCGAAATCCTCCTGGATAAGAAGGACTCGTCCGACTCAGGGATGCGCTCCAGTGACAGCTCCTCAGACCCTTCCTTGGAGGAGGCTGAAGGAGAGTCTTACACAGAGAGAGAAACACTGAAGTCCAGCCTGATTGAACTAGAGCTGGAGGGCCTGGTGAAGAAGAGAGGCCTCCTCCCCAGCAGCCTGAGCGGCCTTCAGGATGCGGCAGTGGCCCGCATGTCCATCTGCTCTGAGGCTCCGTCTGAGGCCAGCCTAATGGCCAGCAGCCCAGATGAGGGGTGGCCGTCTATCAGGGTCAGCAACCTCAATCGCACCGACAGCAACACCACCCTCAATAACAACACAAACAGCCCTGGCGACTCCACCAGCAACACCAACACCAACAACAGCCACCAGCAGCCGGTTAACATCACAGGCACAGAATCCACCACCACCTGCCGCAGCATCAGCGTCTCGCCAGCTGTCATCATCATGCCCGGCAGCAGCAGCACTGCCAACACCACGGCTGCCACCATCCACAACCAGAACCTGCGCACAATCAGCCTGGGAGATGAGAGGGAGAGTGTCCTCTAGGAAGCAGGTTGTTGTTCTGAGGAGGGTCATGTAGACTGTTCTAGATGTTGTTGGTGACCTTATTGTACTGTTGGCATCGTGATGTGTTCCAAAGAAGTAGAGTAGATACGTGTTCTACTGAAAATGTTGCTGTGAAGCAAGAGTAGTGCATCAAAAGCTTCAGGTAGTTGGCTAATGAAAACAAAAATCACCTTTTTATTTTAAAAAAAAGGACAACTCTAAAGACACATTTTTAATTAGATTTTTAATTTAATGATACCAAAATGCTTCAATCAGGTCAAATTGGGATTGTTTTAATTTATTTTTATGTTATTTCTTACTGTTGTTTGGATGGTTTAAGTGTCATTTCTTTCTCATGTGAATGTGGTGCTGTTATGGAAACGGTGTGTTTTTGTGGTGCTGTGTTGTGGACATCATATGTTACCAAAACAAAAAGTGTTTGTCAGGAAATGTAGCCACAACTGAAAAAGCTCAGTGTTTTTGACTTATTTAAAATAGATGGCATTGTAAACAGTGGTGCAGTGTGTTGTTGGCTGTTTCTGTGATGGAAGAAGTGCATGCAATAGTCTCCAAAGCGGTGACTGTCTTCTCCAAATGTCCTTGTGAAATGGTGTTCCGTGAATCAATAAACATTTTGCTACATGATCCATTGAAATTAGTTCCATGTTTTCTCTTTTCTGCTCTTTTCTTGCAGGAAAATCAGCTGTTTGTAGAGTGAAGCCTCAGTGGCCTAGGATTTTGCTTGTAAATAAACCAGAATAAGTAATCTAAGAGTCTACAACTATTTAATATTTTATCTATTGCAGTTCAGGGGAAAGAAGAGGGTGACGTGCACAGGGAGGGCGTCATTGACAGGATTTATATTCTCCAATAGATGGCGCACTCTCCATACAAACTTGCTAGCAGTCTGGCGTGACAGGCACTGCCTGTCAGTATTATAAACTACTGAGGGTAATGACTGGAGCTCAGTGACTCTCAAAGTCTGGTGAGGGGACCTGCAGAGATCCTTTGAGAAGGTTTCCGAGCTGCTTTTGCATTCAACTGTAAATAAATCTTAGTTAAGGAATTGAATTCATAAATGACTTTTGTTTTTACACACTTGATCATGAAAGATCCCATAAAGTGGTCCATGGGGTAAAATCATCGAATGTAGGTCCATGTCTTAGTTTGCTCGTAGGTGGTGTGAAAATATTTGAGAAGCCATGCTGCACTGTAGTGAGACGATTGACAGTTGGCTTTTTACTACAGCGTACTCATGTCACTCAACAGCCCATGTTGCCTACCTTTCTTACCAGAGGTCATCTATAGCTTTCATACCACCTTTACAGTACTATACAGCCTACTATCTAATAATTCGGGAAGAGCCGTAAATTTCTCCCCCTAGAATAGTTGGCAGCAGTTGTATTTTCAGCCCATAGCTTGGTTCATTGTGTGCACAGCTACCTGGTCATTTTTCACTGGCAACAAGCAACGAAGTTTGCCGTCACCAGGTGCTCTCACTGCTTTATTCCATCCGACTGATCAAGTCAAACATTGGACCCCAGTGCTGTTTGGTCTGTCACATGACAGGAGAGGTCACCCGTTTTGAGAAGTGTTGGCTATTTGGCAAACTTAAAATAACGGAAGGCCATACAGGCCTCAAATTTACAAAATAAAAGAGGAATAACAGCACCAATTAAGGAATAAACTGAATATTTCTTAAGAATATATTAACGCCTTGATGGCCCAATTTCACCATAAGTTACATTTCCGTAATTGCCTATTTTTGTTTTAAAAACAGCCTACAGCTCACCGCTTTAATGGCTCGGTCTGTCACGCTAAACCATTTAATCCTATTTACTTTACATATAGCATGTGGGGAAGTAAAAGTGCAGTCAGTGCGCACTAAATAGGCTTTTCTGCAACTGTGTGTGCCTCCAAGTCCTGTTTGACTTGGGGGGGTATTGACCATTTGAGACTATTACATGTCACAGGGCAGGTCTAATAAGGACACTTTGTGGGATTTGTTTGTGAAGTGCATCAGATGTTCACACTGGTGTACAGCGCGGTCGTGTCCATATACATACTCATGTAGAAAGCCAGCTGGACGCACAGCTGGAAAAACTGGTTTTACGCACAGGGTGGTGTCTTCTGAACCCCTGATAACAGTCCCCACACCCCCCAAATGAAACATGTTCAAATTGCGTTTTTGATTTATTTTGTAAAAAAGGTACAATTTACATTACTTTTATAAAAAGTTTCAGCATAATTAAGTACAACATTACACTTTTGCAGAATTTTCAAATTCCTGCAACTATACAAGATAAAACTCCCGATAAGAGTTCACACGGTTTCATTCTTTCATTTTAACTTTTTTTTTTTAAACCAACGTCCAGTCCTTCATGTGCCAACAATTCTGACAAGACTAGACTAAACTTTGTACAGTAACTAACCAAGTTCTCTTTTCTATTTCACGTTCCCACCTCCGCAAAAAAAGCGAAGACTTCAACAAGGAGGGGGACAGGGGCGGGGTGGCGGAATAATCCTTGTGACAATAATCTCGTTTTTCCTCCCACTGTCGGGAATATAACGCGCCTTCCATTTCCAGAAAGGACCCACAAATAATTAAAAAAAAAAAAAGTCTTAAGTTAAATAAGAAGTGTCCAAACAGAAAACACATCACATACGATTGTCCCATAATAAGCAAAAGTCTCTTGATTTCAGCGTCAGAAGAAAAAGGAAAAAAAAAAAATCCAGGCCTGAAGGACAGAGGTGGGAGGGTGGTGTGGGGGGGAAAGTCCTGCTCCCCAGGTCCTGTGTGTGTTTTTGCGTCTTGACCAAACACCTGCAACAGATTGAGAAAGAGAGGCGTGTTTAGAAAATGCAAACAGGGCAGAGATCCGGACAGACTGGCGCCAGGGAGGAAGCCGCAGTTTTTAACATTTAACCAAACACTCCCAATACTAAGCAAACCCTGCGCTCCAGATGTACACACACACTTTTCGCACAACTTCAGCCTACAATCTGGGGAAGAATCAGCGTAATTGCCGCTCAGCTGGCGCCTACCCACTTCTTGTACCAATTATGTGCAGACATCGTAGTAGCAGCAATCCAAACAGCCATTATTTTCCTGTTGCAGATGCTCTTCATTATAGACACAAGAGGGTATAATACAACCCTGACGACTGCTACTTATCTACAGTAACCCGAGCTGCCTAGAGCGAATATCTCTCATTTTATTCCACCAAACTCCAAAAATGTGAACCATTGGAATGTCTTTTGGACACAGCGAATGAGTCGGAATTATTTTGATTAATCCGGGTCACTTTACTGACACATAGGAGTCCCGAAGGAGCCCATGATACGATCTTTGTTTGACATTGTGGCTACATTTCTGCTAATTTTTAAAATAAAAGAAATTATATCAAATTTGAAATCAAGTCAAGCCAACTGTCTGCCCCTCGTCATAACTGACGCCTTAGTGTTGCGGCGCATTCTCATACAAAACATATTGGGACCATTACTGCAACGCGAGACGACAGCCACATTAGCGGGAACAAATGGGATTGGTAAATGGTGATTCTAGCCCATTCTGCTCCAGCAGACTGGGAGACAGAATGTAGCGGAGCCTAAACGCCCTGGACAGAATGCAGCAGCAGACATGAGGACAGCCTACTTACCGCTTTAACGATGCAGAGTCCGGCTGTCATCTGTTATCAGCTCTGATGGCAACTCCGGGGACTGAAAACAAACAAACAAACAGACCAAATGTTAATTCTTTACTGCTGCAACCGATTGAGGTGTCGGGCGTTTTAACAGTGTTATGTAGGTCGAATCGCTTTCCTCTGATTCTGTACAAGAGAAATATATATAACATGCCATTTTCTTTTTTCAACAAGCCATTTTGTGCGAGTTACGCATAGGCTACAAAAGGAGCACTAGCTATGCGCACGAACACAAACACACTAAATATCCTGAACACCACACCAGCCTTCCGTTTCCCCTAAATTATGACGCTTGTTTAGCTACAGTGTAATTACCTGTAATGACAAGATGCTGATATCTGTGTTGAGGGTGGTCAAAGGGGTCCTGGATGGAGCCTGCCCCGGCCGCGCAGGGTGATGCAGGCTGGTTAGTGCGACACTGGAGTCCAGCGCGATCTGCAGGTCCAGGATGTAGTCAATGACATGCTGCAGGATTTCCATCTTGCTGACGTTCTTGTTCTGGGGGATGCTGGGCACCAGCTCCTTCAGCTTGGAGTAGCAGTCGTTCATGTTGTACAGCAGGCTGAGCGGGTCATCCACCGGGGTCTTGCTCCGAGAGAGTCCCAAGGAGTGCTCCGATAAATTCGCGTTGCTTTTCCGGAAGGACCGCACGGGGCTTATTGCTTTCATTTTGTCAGTGTTAAGTTTGGCGAGAGGGTTTGTGTGTGTCGATATCTTGCTTCTTTTAAGTCCTGTTATTTGCCAGACGATCAGCTATCAGACTGGCTCACCAAGCTGTCAGTGTGGTTTATATAGGCAGCAGGCTGGGCATGCGACGCAGGCGGGTCCAACGCGCTGATTGGTCGGGGACTCCGTGTCACTCAACGCCATTCAGCTCTACTATTAGCTCATCCTGTTTAAATCCCTCCCCTTCTCCACCTCGTTACCAGTGGCAACGCATGTTGAAGGCGGAACCCAGAGGGCGCTTCAGCAGCTCCGGTGGGCAATTTGGAAAATTAAGCCCTTACCTGTTTCTGATCAAGAAAATTAATGATTCGCATGGCTGTCAATTTGACTGTGGCAAAGTGTGAGCACGCGCCAATACCTTTTGGCATAACAAATTCAATTTAATCCTGTATTTTTGTCATGAACATAAAGCAGAAATGTATTTGGAAACGTGCATTTAAAAAACATCAAAAGGGTTCCAGTCATAATAAAAAATTGCATTCACACATGTGCGACAGTGCAAGAGTTTAAATCTGATAACTGCATCTTCCAGACACAACAACCATATTTTGTCAGCCATCACTTATTCTGAGACGTGCAGCGTTGGAGGTGTGGAGCAGTGATGATAGGGACCGTCTCAGGCGCGCCTGATGATTCTTAATTCACTCCAGCCCCGACCGGTGTGAAGGCAAGTTTCTGATACTGAATAGCCAACTGAGAGATAAATGTTTGAGTGGGCAACTGAAACAGTTTCCACCAGGAAAATGGTCAGACCAGCGTCAAGACAAATGTTTTATGCATGAGAAAATAAAGCTTGGGCCTTGGGGTTTATATTGTCAGAAATAGCCTATATTATTCGGTAATTTGACGCACCTTAATGTTTTCTATTAATCACAGCTACCAGCATTGTGCATTGAGTGTGATCTTTCAAAATTTTAGAGATGGTGCAACAGAAGGGATCAGAAAATAAATAAATCATTAAAGGAGTTGACGGACAACTTGTCCGTCAACTCCTTTAATGATTTATTACCCTTTAAACAAATATAGCAACTAGCCTATAGTCATTCAAGGGTCTGTGTGTGGACCATGTGAGACGTATAGTTTAACCCAACTCAGCCATGTAGCCTACATGTTTGTTTGTTTTTTGAAGTGGGTGTGCACATCTATCTAAATGCATCAGCGAGGTCCCGCGCACTTCACTGTTAATTGTCACCTGAGTATGTTGTGTGTCAAAGTTCATTTAGTC